GGTGACGGCGCGGGGGGACGGCGCCCGGGGGGACGGGGACACTCGGGGAGGGGACGGGGACAGGGACACGGTGCTGGGGACACTCGGTGAGGGGACAGGGACAGGGACGCACAGTGCTGGGGACACTTGGTGAGGGGACAGGGACACGGTGCTGGGGACAGGGACAGGGACACACAGTGCTGGGGACACTCTGTGAGGGGACAGGGACATGGTGCTGGGGACACTCGGTGAGGGGACAGGGACAGGGACGCACAGTGCTGGGGACACTTGGTGAGGGGACAGGGACACGGTGCTGGAGACACTCTGTGAGGGGACAGGGACATGCCGTGCTGGAGACAAGGACAGGGACACACAGTGCTGGGGACACTCTGTGAGGGGACAGGGACACGGTGCTGGGGACAGGGACAGGGACACACAGTGCTGGGGACACTCTGTGAGGGGACAGGGACACGGTGCTGGGGACAGGAACAGGGACACACAGTGCTGGGGACACTCTGTGAGGGGACAGGGACACGGTGCTGGGGACAGGAACAGGGACACACAGTGCTGGGGACACTCTGTGAGGGGACAGGGACACGGTGCTGGGGACAGGAACAGGGACACACAGTGCTGGGGACACTCTGTGAGGGGACAGGGACATGCCGTGCTGGAGACAAGGACAGGGACACATGGTGATGGGGACACTCGGTGAGGGGACAGGGACATGCCGTGCTGGGGACAGGGACAGGGACACTCCATGCTGGGGACACTCGTTGAGGGTGAGGGGACAGGGACGCATGGTGCTGGGGACATCCACCGTGGGGACAGGGACACTCACTGTTGGTAACGGGACTGGGACACCCCGTGCTGGGGACAGGGACATCCCATGCTGGGGACACTCGGTGAGGGGACAGAGACACACAGAGCTGGGGACACTCAGTGAGGGTGTGCGGACAGGGACACCTGATGCTGGGGACACTCGGTGAGGGGACAGGGACATCCCGTGCTGGGGACAGGGACACCCAGTGTTGGGGACATCCACCATGGAGACAGGGACAAGGACACTCCCTGTGGGGACAGGGACAAGGACACTCAGTGAGGGTGAGGGGACGCGCAATGCTGAGGACAGGGACACACTGTATTGGGGACAAGGACAGGGACACACAATGCTGGGGACACTCAGAGAGGGTGTGGGGACACTGCTGGGGACATCCACGGTGGGGACAGGGACAAGGACACTTGGTGAGGGTGAGGGGACGGGGACACACAGTACTGGGGACAGGGACACAATGCTGAGGACATCCACTATGGGGACAAGGACACGTGGTTCTGGGGACCTCCACTGTGGGGACAGGGACAAGGACACTCAGGGTGAGGGGACAGGGACACCCCATGCTGGGGACATCCACTGTGGGCATGGGGACATGGACGTTCCCTGGGGGCATAGGGACAGGGACACTTGGTGAGGGGACAGGGACACCGTGCTGGGGACAGGAACACCCAGTGCTGGTGACATCCACCATGGGGACAGGGACAAGGACATTCCCCTTGGGCATGGGGACAGGGACACTCAGTGAGGGTGAGGGGACAGGGACACTCAGTGCTGGTGACATCCACTATGGGGACAAGGACAATCCCTGTGGGCATGGGGACAAGGACACTTGGTGAGGGGACAGAGAAACCCACTGTGGGGACAGGGACAGCCAGTGCTGGGGACACTCAGAGAGGGTGAGGGGACAGGGACAGGAACAGGGGGACCGGGGGACAGGGGAACAGGAACAGGGGACAGGAACAGGGGACAAGGACAGGGACAGGGACAGAGACAGGGACAGGGACAGGGACGGGGACAGGGACAGGGATGGGGACAGGGACAGGGACAGGACAGGGACAGGACAGGGACAGGACAGGGACAGGGACAGGGGACGGGGACAGGACAGGGACAGGACAGGGACAAGGCCACCCCAGCACTGACGCTGTCCCTCCCCTCACAGAGCAGCGCTGTGGGGACGGACCCTGCGTGTTCGACACCGGTGAGCTGGGACCCCCATCACCTCCTGTCACCTCCTGTCACCTCCTGTCACCCCCATGGCACTGCCATCCCCCTGTCACCTCCTGTCACCTCCTGTCACCCCCATGGCACTGCCATCGCCCCTGTCACCTCCTGTCACCTCCTGTCACCCCCATGGCACTGCCATCCCCCCGTCACCTCCTGTCACCCCCATGGCACTGCCATCCCCCCATCACCTCCTGTCACCTCCTGTCACCCCCATGGCACTGCCATCGCCCCCTTGTCACCTCCTGTCACCTCCTGTCACCCCCATGGCACTGCCATCCCCCCTGTCACCTCCTGTCACCTCCTGTCACCCCCATGGCACTGCCATCCCCCCTGTCACCTCCTGTCACCCCTATCACCTCCCTGTCCCTTTGTCCCCCAGGCTGGAGCGTCCCCAGGTCCCCTCCCCACCTCGGGGGGCTCCTCGTGGCCACCACAGCCCTGGCAGTGGCCGCCGGGACCTTCTGAGCCGCGAGGCCACCGAGGCCACCGAGGACACCATGGCCACCAAGGTCACTGAGGAAATGATGGTCACCAAGGGCACCGAGGACATGATGGTCACCAAGGCCGAGGTCACCGTGATCACCATGGCTACCAAGGACACCAGGACCTCCTGAGCCATCAAGATCACCATGGCCACCATGGCCACCAAGGCCACCATGGTCACCATGGCCACCAAGGCCACCATGGTCACCATGGCCCCCTAAGGCCACCAACGCCACTGAGGTCACCAAGGACACCAGGACCTTCTGAGCAACAAAGCCACTGAGGTCACCAAGGTCATCATGGCCACCAAGGTCACTGAGGTCACCGAGGTCATCATGGCCACCAAGGTCACCAAGGTCAACAAAGACACCAAGGACACCAAGGTCAGCAATGCCACTGAGGTCACCATGGCCACTGAGGTCACCATGGCCACCACAGTGGCCAAAGCCACCAAGGCCACCATGGTCACCAAGGCCACCAAGGTCCCTGTGGTCGCCATGGTCACCAAGGCCATCAAGATCACCAAGGACATCAGGGACACCAGGTTGTCCTGAGTCATGAGGCCACCAAGGTCACCAAGGCCACCAAGGCCACCATGGTAACAATGCCACCAAGGTCACCATGGTCACCCTGGTCACCATGGTCACCAAGGCCACCGCTGTCGCTATGGTCACTTTGGCCACCGTGGGTATTGGGCCACTGGAGTCGCCATTGTCACCACGGCCATTGTGGCCACTGTGGCCACCAAGGCCATTGTGGTCATGATGGACACCAAGGACACCCGGACCTCCTGAGCAACAAGGCCACCAAGGACACTGTGGTCACCAAGGACACCATGGTCACCATGGCCACAGAGGTCACCATGCTCATGATGGCCACCAAGGACACCCGGACCTCCTGAACAACAAGGCCACCAAGATCACCAAGGACACCAAGGCCACCGAGTCCACCAAGACCACCCAGGTCACCAAGGTCACCATGATCACCACGGTCACCAGGACCTCCTGAGCCACGAGGCCACCAAGGCCACTAAGGTCACCGAGGTTACCATGGCCACCAAGGTCACCAGGGCCACCGAGGTCACCATGGTCACCATAGTCATCAAGGACACCAGGACCTTCTGAGCCATGAGGCCACTAAGGCCACCATGGTCACCATGGCCACCAAGGTCACCGAGGACACCGAGGTCACCAAGGACAGCAGGACCTTCTGAGCAACAAAGCCACTGAGGTCACCAAGGTCATCATGGCCACCAAGGTCACCAAGGTCAACAAAGACACCAAGGACACCAAGGTCAGCAACGCCACTGAAGTCACCATGGCCACTGAGGTCACCATGGCCACCACAGTGGCCAAAGCCACCAAGGCCACCATGGTCACCAAGGCCACCAAGGTCCCTGTGGTTGCCATGGTCACCAAGGCCACCAAGATCACCAAGGACATCAGGGACACCAGGATGTCCTGAGCCACAAGGCCACCAAGGTCACCGTGGTCACCATGGCCACCAAGGACACCAGGACCTCCTGAGCCACCATGGCCACCAAGGCCACCAAGGCCACCATGGTTACCAAGGTCACCATGGTCACCATGGCCACAAAGGCCACTGTGGTCATGATGGCCCCCAAGGTGACCAAGGCCACTGAGGTCACCATGGCCACCATGATCACCAAGGTCACCATGGCCACTGAGGTCACCATGGCCACCAAGATTGCCATGGCCACCAAGTTTGCCATGGCCGCCAAGGTCACCAAGATCACCATGGCCACTGAGGTCACCATGGCCACCATGGCCACCAAGGCCACCAGGACCTCCTGAGCAACTGTGGCCACCAAGGTGACCACGGCCACAGAGGTCACCATGGCCACCAAGGCCACCACAGCCGCTGTGGCCACCAAGGCCACCATGGTCACCAAGGCCACTGTGGTCACCATGGCCACCAAGATTACCATGGCCACCAAGGTCACCAAGATCACCATGGCCACTGAGGTCACCATGGCCACCATGATCACCATGGCCACTGAGGTCACCATGGCCACCAAGGTCACCATGGTCACCAAGGCCACCAGGACTTCCTGTGCAACAAGGCCACCAAGGTGACCAAGGCCACAGAGGTCACCATGGTCACCATGGCCACCACAGCCACCATGGCCACCACGGCCGGGATAAGAGGACACTGGCAGGGCCACCGCTGCCACCGGGACAGGGGGACCTTGGCCGTGTCAGGGCCTCCATCCTCGGCTTTTTGGGGAATTCTCTGTCCCTTTCCAGAAATTTCCGTTTTCCTGCCGGGTTTTATTAAACGGGATCTGCCTCGGTCCACGAAATGTCTCTGACTCTAACCCAGACTGAGGGGTTTAGGCCCGGCTTAGGGGATTTAGGCCCCGTTTAGGGGATTTAGGCCCAGGTTTAGGGGATTTAGATTTTAATTAAAGGATTTAGGCCTGATTTAGGGGATTTAGACCCAAATTAAAGGATTTAGGCCCAGTTAAGGGGATTTAGATCTGAACTAAGTAATTTAGGCCTGGTTTAGGGGATTTAGATCCAAATTAAAGGATTTAGGCCTGGTTTAGAGCATTTAGACCCAAATTAAGTAATTGAGGCCCAGTTTTGGGGATTTAGATCTGTACTAAAGGATTTAGGCCCAGTTTAGGACATTTAGAGCCAAATTAAAGGATTTAGGCCTCATTTAGGGATTTAGATCTGAATTAAGGCATTTAGGCTCGGTTTAGGGGATTTAGGCCCAAATTAACAGAGTTAGGTCTGTCTTAGGGGATCTCAACCTGAATTAAGGGATTTCTGCCTAAACTAAGGGATTTCAACCTGAATTAATGGCATTAGGCCTGAATTAACGGAGTTAGGCTTGGCTTAGGGGATTTCAACAAGAATTAAGGGATTTAAACCCAAATCAATGGGGTTAGGCCTGACATAAGGGATTTCAACCTGAATTAAGGGATTCAAACCCAAATTAATGGGGTTAGGCCTGACTTAAGGGATTTCAACCACAATTAAGGGATTTAAACCCAAATTAAGGGATTTCAATGTGGATTAACAGAGTTAGGCCTGATTTAAGGGATTTCAACCTGATTTTATGGAGTTAGGCCTGGTTTAAGGGAGTTCAACCAGAATTAAGGGATTTAAACCCAAACTAAGGGATTTCAGGCCAAATTAAAGGAGTTAGGCCTGATTTATGGGATCTCAACCTGAATTAAGGGATTTCAACCCAAACTAAGGGATTTCAACCTGAATTAACAGGGTTAGGCCTGGTTTAGGGGATCTTAACCTGCATTGAGGGATTTAGGCCAGAATTAAGGGATTTCAACCCAAACTAAGGGATTTCAACTTGGATTAACAGGGTTAGGCCTGGTTTATGGGATTTCAACCCGAGTTAACGGGGTTAGGCCTGGTTTAAGGGATTTCAACCAGAATTAAGGGATTTAAACCCAAACTAAGGGATTTCAGGCCAAGTTAAAGGAGTTAGGCCTGGTTTAAGGGATTTCAATCAGAATTAATGGGGTTAGGCCTGGTTTAAGGGATTTCAACCTGAATTAACAGAGTTAGGTCTGGTTTAAGGGATTTCAACCTGAATTAATGGGGTTAGGCCTGGTTTAAGGGATTTCAACACGAATTAACGGGGTTAGGCCTGGTTTAAGGGATTTCAATCAGAATTAACGGGGTTAGGCCTGGTTTAAGGGATTTCAACCTGAATTAACAGAGTTAGGCCTGGTTTAAGGGATTTCAACCTGAATTAACGGGGTTAGGCCTGGTTTAAGGGATTTCAACCTGAATTAACGGGGTTAGGCCTGGTTTAAGGGATTTCAACCTGAATTAACAGAGTTAGGCCTGGTTTAAGGGATTTCAACCTGAATTAACGGGGTTAGGCCTGGTTTAAGGGATTTCAACCTGAATTAACGGGGTTAGGCCTGGTTTAAGGGATTTCAACCTGAATTAACAGAGTTAGGCCTGGTTTAAGGGATTTCAACCTGAATTAACGGGGTTAGGCCTGGTTTAAGGGATTTCAACCTGAATTAACAGAGTTAGGTCTGGTTTAAGGGATTTCAACCAGAATTAACGGGGTTAGGCCTGGTTTAAGGGATTTCAACCAGAATTAGGGGATTTCGACCCAAACCAAGGGATTTAAACCGAAGGGAAGGGGCGGATCCCAGCCCCCCAAATGTCCCCTCTGTCCCCTTTGTCACCAGATGTCCCCTTGTCACCGCGTCACCGGGAGGTTCAGGGTTAATTAGCAGGGTTAATTACCCCTAATTAGGCTGGAGGTGACGTTGGGCGGGTGTGACAAGGTCGCGGCGCTGGTGGCACTTCCTGGTGCCACCTCGGCGTGCCAGGGGACAAAGTCCCGTCCCCCTGTCCCCGAGGGACCGGCTGGGCTGGGGTGGGGCCGGACGGACTTTGGACACCGGGAGGGGACGTGGGGACAGGGGGGTGGATGGACAGACGGACATGGGGACATGGGGATGGATGGACATGGGGACATGGGGACGCCGGGAGGGGACGTGGGGACAGGGGGGTGGATGGACTGACGGACATGGGGACATGGGGATGGATGGACATGGGGACATGGGGACGCCGGGAGGGGACGTGGGGACAGGGGGGTGGATGGACTGACGGACATGGGGATGTGGGGACAATGGGATGGACATGGGGACAGGGGGGTGGATGGACAGACGGACATGGGGACACGGGGATGGCCATGGGGACATGGGGATGGATGGACATGGGGACATGGGGACGCCGGGAGGGGACGTGGGGACAGGGGGGTGGATGGACAGATGGACATGGGGACACGGGGATGGACATGGGGACACTGGGATGGATGGACAGAGGGACATGGGGACGTGGGGACAATGGGATGGACATGGGGACAGTGGGATGGATGGACATGGGGACATGGGGACACAGGGACAGACAGCCACAGGGACACGGGGACACTGAGATGGACATGGGGACAGTGGGGTGGATGGACAG